TATGGGATTAGGGTCAAGTTGGGCTTAATTGGGCTTCGGATCGGGTTGAAATGACTCCATATTGAACCCTATCGATTAGACCTGTTCATGGGCCAGACCCCATTCAAATTTTGGCAAAAGCCAAGCCCAAGCCCGACCCATGAATAGGTCTACTACCGATTGACAAGTTCACTATAAACAAGAAGGGCTGGGTCGAGTTTAAATTCATGATTTTTTTTTGAAGTCGGGTGGACCGGGTTTGGGTTTGGGGATGTTGAAACTAAGTACCTGGCCCATTAACAATTTGACAATGACATTCCTATCCCCTATGAGGCTATGACATGGGTCAATGAATTGATCCAATAGTCGGACAATTTATTGGACCGTCCGAGTCGTGTCCTGGTAGCATTTTCGGTAGTCAATGCCTGCGACTCTTAAACTACTCTTACCCAAATAAGGGGTGCAAAATGGATTGGATCATGATTCAATCATATTCAAATCCAATTCTATTTTTGTTGGATTCGAATAACCCTTTGTCAAAATTTTGGATGGAACTAGTAAGTGCACATGCTTTGCACGTGGCAATTCTAAATGATGATAATTATAGTAATAATATACCCAAAATTTTCTATAAACTTTATGCATTTTTCACTTTTTTGTTTTTTATTATTAATTAGATGTAGATTGCAAAGTTCAAATCTGATTATATAAGCACCTCATTCAAATATGTGATAACCGGATCAAATTTTGAAGTTTCAAGTATCAATATTGACAAGCCTACCTACTTGGCTAGACTCTTCTTTTTGTAGTGTTTTTATCTTTCTGGTGTATCTTTTTTCTTTTGTTCATTTATCAAAAATTTAAGATTTAAATAAAGAGAATTGAATGAGGTGAAAAGCAATAGTTCAATTTACAATTTAAGCCTTACAATTAAATAGGGACTGAATTCAAAAATGAGTATTTTAGTCATTTTTTCAAAAAATCAGAACTCGGACTGGGAATCGGTCATATCAAACCGTTTGGACTAGAAACCGGTCATACCAAACCATTTGGACTAGAAACCGGTCATATCACTGATTCTGTTTTGGTCCTGAGCCTATATTTTACAAAAAAAAAAAAAAAAAAACATTGAAATGGTTAAAGAACTACTAACCCAAACGGTTTAACCGTTAAAATGTTTGACCCGATTAACGTTCTTGAGTTGCTATTAAACTAATTCCAAAATTTTTATTTATTTTAAAATAAAAATGGAAAAAAGAAACTTTCATATCTCATAAACTTGTTCGATTATTCTCGATGGCTAAAATTAGTTAGGGTTTTTAGTTTTTCCATTTTGATTTTGAGTTTTCTCACTTATGTGATTCTTTTTAAGTTGTAACAGCAAAAAAATTACAAGTCCAATAATGAAATTGAAAAATCAATGCAAGAGATGGGCGATTAAACACTGATCTTATATTAAAATCTGAGATACACCAATGGAGCAAACAATCTGAGATCTAAGAGAGATTTAGAGAAATGAGAGAGATGTAAGAAGGGGGAAAATGGTGTTGTAGGGGTGGTGATGATGAACATAGAGATAGCCGTCAATGGCAATTCCTTCTTCTTCTTTTTCCCAGGGCAAAACGGTTCTACAACAACGACCAGTGAACATGGTGATATCCACCTCCGACGATGCTGACTTCTCTTCTTCTTCTTCTTCTTTCTCACTTTTCAGCTTTAACCAATTGCCTAATTCTCAAAATCTCACACTCCCCTCTCATAATAGTGTATATATACGATGGATTTTTAATAAAATCTTAATCTAGCGATCAAAATAAAAAGTTACATTAATAGTTGAACCATTGACATGAAAACCATAAGCCAAAGTGATTCCATGTCTGGGTTGATTCTTAAAACCTTGATTTTAGTCAAAAGAGAGTTCCACAATCTTATTCATATTTTTAATAGTAGTGTAAATATAGAATTATAGATGTGCTCATTTTTTTCTATATATTTTTTTGTATTTTTGTGTGTAAAAATAATTCTGATATGTCACTTACTTTTTGTTAAATATGATAAATACATGATATTATACATGTGTCTAAATGCTTCTTCATTTGAAAAAATTATATGTTTTTGTTTTTCTATTTTTTGTTTTATTTTTTATTATTTATTTATGGCATTAAAGGTTAACACATTTAACCCAAAAGTTGAACTACTTACTATTAATTTTTATTTTTCATTTTTGGTTAGTTCTAAATTATGCAATTCATTTTCATTGTCAATAAAAATAACCCTTATTTATTACACTTATTTTTTTTAATTTGATTAATAATGTCTAATTTTTTCTATATTTTTTTTGTAAATTTCTATAAAATTTATTTCTATTTTAAAAAATTTTATTACTTAACTATGACTTCATAGGTTGATCAATTTGATTCGGATGGTTGAATTGCTTAGCCACCATTTGGATAAATTATGATTTTGTTTTTGAGTCGGTTTTAAAATATATGGGTTTATATTGTCAAAAATATTGATATAGATCTAATTAGTATCATTTATTAGTGAAAAATAACTAAAAAATATAGGATTTAATAAGAGAAAATGGGATTTAATACTTTAAGTAGAAGACTTAATGAGAGGGGATTAAATGAGGTGAAAAGTAATAATTGAAATTACATTTTCAATCCTTACAATTAGAGATGGATTAAATACACAAATATGTCCATTATAGTAGCCATTAAAGCTGCCACTAAAACTATAATAAAATGACTTTTATAGCCTTTTCCAAACAAAGAAATATAGGGTAATTTTAGTCCACAAAAAGTTTTTATATATAATATAGATAATCAGGCCGATTGAAAATCGAATCGGATTCCAATCACCCCTACCCAAGGTTCAAAATATCAATACATATCGGTTGATACGTATCATATCGGGAGCTTCCCAATACACCCCTACAGAGGGTGTATCAGGGTTTTGACCGGTTTAGAGGTGGACGAACCTTAAACCGGCTCCTCTGAACTAGATATGAAAAAAAAATTAAAAAAAAGCCTACCAATACTACCTGATATGCCTCTACCGACATATTGGGCGTATCGATATTTTGCACCTTGCCCCTACCCAATACAGTTAGACCTGCATATATGTATATATTTATAAACATACTTACTTATAAAAAGACTTGTATATATTAATATATATATATATATATATATATATATATATATGATGAAAATAATTAAAAAAACTTATATTTTTAAGTTTTTCTTTATATAAACTTTGATGTTTTTTTTTTCTTTAGGGCAAATTTCTTAAACTACCCTTATGATTTAGCTAATTGACTAATTCTACCCTTATTGTTTATATATTGTCTTAAAGTATCTCCACTATTTCTGACAATTCTCTAAAACCTCCCTTACTATTAATTTTCCATCACGCTTCGTTTACATGTGACATCATGTGGCTGGTATATTTTTGAAAATTCCTAAAATACCCTTTGCAACTTGATAGTGATGAATCAGAGACATCACGTGTCCTAGGACAATAAACCGGAATGTTCTTTTCTCCTCCCTTCTTATTGAGACCATAGGCAATAGCTGTGGCCATGGGCACGTTGATTATCCAAGCCACATTGAGTTCGGCAATCATGCTAACATCTTTGGTGGCCTACCTCTTTGCATCATTGAAATAAGGGACAATACTTGTTAAAACATAGAATCAATGGGAATTGAGAATCACAAGCTCGAGTAGCTCGTGAAGAGCTCGGCTCGTGGCCACCCCTAGTACTCGTTGAAGACAGTACTCACATTCCCATGGTCCATCAGCTTTTGAAGGAAATGTTCAACAGGAAGGAGCCCAACAAGGGTGTTAATCCTGATGAAGTTGTTGCTTATGGCATTGTCATTCGAGGCAGAATTCTGAGTGGTGAAGGCGGAGGCGAAACCAAATGTAATGAAATTGCTCTACAACAGGTGTAGTTATTGTAATTTTGGGACGAAATTTCCTTTTTATAAGAAATTTTGTTTTATGTTCGTTGCAAATATTCTTTTGCTCGGTGTTGCATCACTTAGTTTGGGATTGAAACGGTTGGTGGGGTGATGACCAAATTGATGCCAAGGAATTTTTCTTTCTTTCTTTTTTTTTTTTTAGTTGTTTTGGTAGAATTGATTGAATTTTGGGAAAAAATATTCAGGTCTATGAAGGTGAGAGGAGATTAACCAAGGATTGTCGTGAGGTTGGAAGATTTGATCTCTCGGGCATTCCACCTGCTCCAAGGTGAGTAAAAAACATTACTCAGAATAATATATGAATGAGAATATAAAAACTAGACACTTATTATAAGTGGCTTGTGATTAAATTTGAATTACAAGGTTGATTGAGGTGGACAAGAATGGTATTCTTCATATGAGGGCGGAGGACAAGGCGCCAAGAAATCAAAATCAATTACCATAACAAATGACAAAGGGTGTCTAAGCGAAGGGATAGAGAGGATGGTGAAAGAAACAAAGGAATTCATAGAGGAGGATAGGAAGGTGAAGGAAAAGATCGATGCGAGGAACAAGCTGAAAACGTACGACTACAACATTGGGCTCAGTTTGGAAGGAGTATAAATACAAATATGTAGAGTGCAAATACATATAGAATAATACAAAATATACAACTATATTTGCACTCTACAAGGAGAAGATGGAAAGCACACCAAAGGAGGCGCTAGAGTGATTGGACGACAATCAGAATGCGGAGAAGGACAATTATGAAGAGAAGTTGAAGGAGGTAAGACGGACTTCCCGTCTCCGGTGTTATCGAGGAGCTCCTTGACAACTACGTGGACTTCCCGTCTCCTTTTCTTTTCAAAATTTTCATTAGATTTTATTTTGAAAATTTGAAGAATAGTAAAAGGCAATTTAGACATTTCATTTTGTTCCATTAGCACTAGTTAGTCAATTAGCCAGTAGAAATTTGCCCTTTTCTTTTACAGATGCAGATTCACCATTTTTGAGATCCGATGGATTGAATCTCGGATATATGATATCGGATCGAATACGGATTCGGAAATATCATGTTTTGAATCCGATCCGATCCGTTTGCATCTCTATTCCCAAATACCTCGCCAGGGTTTAGCGACTTCGGTTTGGAATTTGGAGTCTCTCTTTCTCTGCTGGTTCTCACCTCTCCGTCTTCTCACTGTGCTCTTCTCTCGTGCAAAGGGTAAAGGGGCCCATGGATTCTTCGTCCATTGATACTGCTAACTTGCAAAGGCTTATAGAAGTAACCTCCTATTCTCTGCGGACCTCTCAGTTCAGTCATTGTTTTTATTGCTACCAGTTTTTAGTTTTAATTTCTTGATTTTGATCCTAAGCTTGGTTTGTAGTAATTGTGTTTGTAGTCCTTGGATTTCCCGTGCTCGAATTCACTTCTGCTGCTTGGTTTGATAAACATTTGTTGGAGAAAACCATAATGGTTCAAGATTTTGATTCTTAGAAGCAGTTTTTGGTCTGTTGGTTTTGTTTGTCGTATGAGACTTTGCTGCTGTTGGATTTCAATCCTCTAATACTTAATAAATATATTTTTCAAATTCTCCAGAGCAGGAAAAGAGAAGAAAAATGTAATTTTGGTATCAGATTTTGGCACCAGTTCCTAAAGGGACCACTAGGATTTTCTGTTTTGAACTTGTTCTTCTCTAGTCTATACATTAAGGGCTTCTGTTCTGTATATGATGAGGTTATATAAATTTGGGTGTTGGTTGCGTTTGAATTGTTTATACATAATTTTCTGGTTTTCTCTGAAGCGTTCTTTTTTTCCTTTCCCTATTCATTCTTGTATTTAGGTGTTGAAGACCATCGGGTTTTGTTTTTTTATTTGTAATGCTTGCACATTATACATAAGTTACTGTGCGGTTGTTTCACTGCCCCCTCTTTCCCTCTTTGTTTGCCTTTCTTTCTATCTGCCTTACTGAATTGTATCTATTGTTCTGTTATTCACTGGTTTAGACTCAATTTCTGCATAGTGTAATAGGGGAGGGCTAGCTAGAATGTTTTAGTTAGGATGAAACAAAGCTTGCCTTATCTTTTATACTATTCATAAGTGTTATATACACATTTCAAGTGAGAAATGGAAGAGGATGCAAAGCAGGGAGTGGTTGAGGTAGAAGATAATGGGGGATTAACAAGTGGAGAACCCTATTGAGGTTGATAGGAGTTTTAGTTTCTTAATCTTGGTCTTTTTTATGTTTTGTGATTAATGATCATGTACCCTTCCGGTTGTTGAGGTTGGAACTTGGAAATGTTACTTTTTTTGGGTGCAGTAGTTTCCTGTCTCTGTTATGTGATGCATACATACATACATATATATATATATATATATATATATATGTATGTAATACATATATATATATTATTCAACAGCAAATTTGTTAATTAAAAAAACATAGCAGTAAGCCAGGTGAGGTGCAGCCCACAAAATGAGCCACACGTGTGAGCATAAGTGTACCTGAGGTCTACTTTTTAAAACACTAAATTAACCATCAATCACCATTGGAATTACAAATTACCACTGCTGTTTGACCTCCCATCTGGTGGCTCTTATATGATCTTGCAGCTTAGGTAATGGATCCTAATTGCACGACCAGGAAGGCATCCACGAATCCTTCCCAATCCCTCTATAACTTCTCTTCCCCTTGGTGGAGGCATGAAACGATTTTTAGGGTAAATTTTCGAGTTCAAAAAAGTATTAGCAATTAAAAAGATGCCGCATGCTATTTATTGTGATTAGCTATTTTATTTTATATTGCATTTTTTGATCCAAAGGTAAGATATTGTTTTGATTTCTCCAAAAAACTATATGGATGTACAAGTATAGACATGTACAGTGAGCCACTATATGTCAATGTAAGCAACTTGTAACTCTTCTGCTAGCTATTGCAAAACAAAACAGCGGGATCAAAATAGGATTGATGAGGAACATCTCTAAAAAGATCTGTTGCAACCATCCAGGAGTGAAATACACCAAGGACTTTTTTTTTTGATAATTAATACACCAAAGATCTTTTTAAGAAACTCATCCATCGAGCCGAATTTATCCTCAAATACCAAGAGGCTGTGGCTGGGATCATACTTCGAAGGTTCTTCCTTTTTTTGCTTAACCTTGCTACCTTCCAGTCCACAAAAGATTTGTCACCTTCTCTGGCATACACCAAGTCACCAACTCAAATTGATCAGTCTACATAAATGAGCATAAATCTCTCTCACCACTGGGTGGTGCAAGAATAGGTGACTTGAAGTTTCTCTAACAGAGTTGCACATGACACACGAATAAGGTTGTAGGTTAATGCCCCTTCTGGTTAGATTTTCTCTAGTTAGGCATTTATTGAGACCACAGTAAGAAAGCTGCCTTGGAAGGAACCTGAGGTATCCAGACCACTTTATGAGGGAAATTTGAAATCTGGTGACTGAGCAGCTTGTTGTAGCACAATTTCACAGAGAATACCCCTGATTTTTCTCACACTCACTGTCTTACATCTTTCTGACTTCCGATTTGGAGCTGTTCTGTTTAGTAGGCTGAGTGCTGCCAAGTTTTTGATTTCCCAATCATCTAGATTTCTTCTTAGGGATGGGTGCCAGGTCAAACACCCCTTCCTCATCTTATTATTCCATCTCTCATATTATTCTTCTTTCTTTTCCTCATCTTTTCTTTTGATAGATGAGAAATTTATTATTAAAAAGATCAAGTGGCGAAAGCATTATAGGCTACCCTTGGAGAGGCATGAGATGTTACCTATCCTGGAAATTGAGAATTACATTAAACAAAAGCAAAAGATAACAGAACTGCCCAATATAATTGTTCCCTTGAGGCCCCTTGCTTAGCTAAACAATCAGCTAAGGCATTTGCTGTTCTGCCCACCCAATGTGAGGTCACATTCATGTTCCTTGAATACCAGTTAACTTTCCTCAAGAGGTCCCTGTAGCACCATATAACCGAACCTGGATTTGTCAACCAGTCCACAACAACTTTGGAGTCTTCTTCAATTACCAGATTCTGCACTCCTAGTTGGTCTACTATCTGAATACCTTGTACAGCCGCTAACAATTCAGCTCTGTTAGAGTCTCCTATTCCCACAGGGCCTGAGAACAAGGCTAAGATGATGCTGTTCTTATCTCTCAGCACTCCTCCTATACCCAAAGGACCTGGGTTGCCTTGACTACTACCATCAGGGATAAGATGTTGCCATCTTTCTTTTCTTCATATTTGTTTCTTTAGAACTTTAAATTTTGTTATTGTCTCAGTCAAGAATGGCTCAGATGTGTTAAATTTTAAATGATTGTGCCATCTGTCAGGTTGGTCTCTGTTTATGTCTTTATTCCTGGGGTTTGTTGGTTTGTCATGTTTCTCCTGGAATTTGTAAAGCAATTTTAGAAGCAAAATATAGAATACTTATGGATCTAAAGTGGAATTGCACCTTAATATCAAAGCATAGGCTCAGCTTATCATTTCTCTCAAATCTTAGGTCAGATGAATATTTATGATAGCAGCATCACAATCTATTTAACATGCCTAGGCGAAGCGGAATTTTTATTTATGGAAACTACAGCCAGTTAAAACTAATAGAGAGTCATTAAAAGTGCCTTTTCATTCAGAGCTGTAGTGACAGGTGAATAAAAACATAAGACCTGCATGGAGGCAGAGATGCCATTGAATTGGGAGGCTTTCCTACATGCATAGGTTTTGAGACTTGAATAGGACATATGTGTTCTGGGTTCCAATAAAGGTATTGAGTATCAAGTTTTCTGTAAGTAGTTTATGATGATACCTCATGGGTCATAGCATGGAGCTTTGGATTTGAGCAATGAAAATGTATTTGTTTCCTTGCTAGCATATCAAAATTAGTATTATTATTGTTGATCAATAATTTAATGTTGTTTTTCTGGCTCAATTAATTAGGAGTTTCAGATGCCTGCATCAGGTGACACTTCTAAGCAACAGTTAGGAATCTCATGAAGTTTTTATTGAACGCACCTAACATGGTCACTGTCAATGAGAAAGGATGGAATGGAGTATGTAACTTTGCTATAATGATTTGATGAACTCTCTTCATTGAAGATTCTCTCTTCCTGGTTTGAAGGTGCAGTGGCTTGCTTCCTACCTAACATGGGCAATCAACTCCAAAGACATACCACCTTGAATGGATTAGACCTCAGCAAAGGATCTGCACTTCCTGATCTTAACCAGATTTAATGCCAGGAGGTGGTTGTTAAATTGTGTAACTGGGTAGATGATGATGAGCAATCAAAAATGCATGTACATCCCCATTGGATCTAGTCGCTGCTGCCGGAAGACCTTCTTCTGGGCTTTAGATCTGGTTTTCCTTTTAAAGCCAGAACATGGGAGGCAAGAACATATATGCATTAGGAACTTGGATTCTAGACCTTTTTATACCTGGTGCTTCTCTGTTGTGTGAGAAAGAGATGCCAAATTGTCTTGGAGAGACACTGACTTGGGCCTCTCTGCTCACCTACACAAGAACTAGACCTTGTGTATAACACCATTCTCCAATCTGAAAACTATTGGTAACCTCCAAGAAGAAGTAAATTGGTGGGATAGAGTTAGAGTTGAACTCCTCACTCTTTAGAGCAAGGAGGTTAAAATTTCCATATGGTGGCTTAAAGATAATGATGCAATTGTAATCCTTAATATGTACCATGTTATGTGTAAGAGGCGAGTGAAAGAGAGTGGAGATAAAGAAACAGAGGTTAGAGGGGACATAGGATTAGAATCTGTCTACTTCCATGTGTTTTGTCCAGTAATGTTGAATCAGATCATGAGTAATACCAGACACCCCAATCATCTTTCATCCTTTCACTTACTTGATCCAAAGCTGAAGACAATTGTTTAATGCTAAAAGAAAAACCAAACAAGGGAAAGAACCATTTTGACAATGCCAGCAAAAGAGGATCACAGTCACTAATGTCATAGATACCACTTCTATTAAGACCAATCTGCAGCCTAGAGACTGCTTCAAATCATTGTAAAATAGTCGTAAAAATTTTTGATCTGATCAATTGACAGGTCCAAGAAAATGAGAGTGCTATCTGTATACTGAAGGTGGGTAATCATTGACTTCATCTTTAACTTTGAACCCAGATATCAGTCTGTAGAGAGACTGGGCCGAATGGAACCTAGCCATTGTCTTATTATTAGTTCTTCCTAGTTGCTTTATTTGTTAATGGGCCTTTCCTTTATAGGCCTATTAATCCTTTTTTTGTGTTCTTTAAGTATGTTGATGAGCTGGCTGCCCACTTAAGGGCAGACTTGTAATTTGTTCAGTCTTAGTAAGATTAATAAAAGAGAAGAGAGGTAGAAGAGGAGACCATCAAACTCTTCTTCTTTTCTCCCTTCTCCATCTTCTTCTTCTTCTTTCCTGCTGTTTTCCTCTTCCTTTTCTTTCTTTGCTATAATCTGAAACTATTTTACAGAATTTTATTGGAATGAATCACATCTCAGTCCAAGTTCTTCAGCTTGAATGATCATTCTGTATAGCCCATCAACCACAAGAAGAAAAGAAAGAAGAAAGTGAAGCTCCCTTCTGAAGGCCTCTATAGCTCCTAAAAAAATCATTGGAGGCACTATTTAGAAGAAGAGAAAAAGAGACCATTTAGATGCAAACCTGAATTCATTTCCTCTAATCAACTCCAAACCCCCTTTTTTTTTCAAATAAACAACCAAAAGAAAATCCACATCCATCTGGTCAGAAGCTCTAGTACAAATCAATACCTTGCCTTTCAAAACACATGATGAGATTTTCTTTTCATCCGTTGCTCTTGGTATTATTTTGATGTGTAATCTAGTCTGATATGTTGTCAAGGGAAATTTGTGTCATCTGCTTGTGATGTATATACTAATATTAATTTTATTTCCTAATTTCTTTGTTTTTTCTGACAACCTATTTGACAGTTCTACCAACTTTCATTTGTTTGTGGGGTTTTGATCTCAACTAATGCAAATCAAATTTATTAATGTTTGTAGGATGAGAAGCAGAGGGCTATGGTGAACCAGATGGTGGCTAAACTCACTGATCTTTGCTGGGATAAATGTGTCACTGGAAGCATAGGAAGTAGCATGAGTAGCAGTGAGAGTACATGCCTCACCAACTGTGCTCAGCGTTTTGTGGACATCAGTATGTTAACAATCCAGCGCTTTAAAAATATGCATTGATCCAGTGAAAGATTGAAGTGATGGCATTGCCAAGCATTATTCAATATTGATAACTTGTAGGCATCTTAGATTACTTGAAGGGTATTGCTTTTATTTTTTTGGAGTACATTTCATTCATTATCAGTTCAGGTCCTTTGTTGGAAACACCATTTAGGATATGAAGCTTTTCCATGTGAAAACCTTATTTTGGTCCTTCATATTTGGTCTTTCTGGTCTTTTGTATTTTTATTAATTTTATTTTTCTCTTTCCATGCATACAGATTGGTAATTGGGATGACATAATGAATGAATTGTTTGTCATCAAGATATGAGTTTTGATAATGATTCCCCCCCCTTCCCAATCTTTTGAAGTGACTCTTGCATCCCACAACTTAACTGCATGTTAACTTAGGCTATGGTTTTAAATGTTAAATGTTATCGATGCATGCCATAACCAAGCATTGTTTTGGTTGTACCAATTAAAAAGGCTTTATTTTGGTTGAAACTTTAGGAAGATCTTAGTTTTCTTTTCCATTCCCATTCTCTTAAAAGAAATATTACTTTATGAGGAAAATGTACTTTAGAAGTATGAAATTCTCAAGACGGTGGGGTTGGATGATATTTGATCTTAAGTAAGATAATGCTGTCTAATCAGGTGGTTTGTAAAGATGCTTAGGTTGCTAAGTCATTGGGATTGTTATTTTTCTGTGGCAAGAAGTTTTCTGAAGAGACATTTAGGAGGAAGAAGAGCATTAGATGTTAGGCATAGGAGGGTATTGAATATGGGTGGAGGGGGGGGGAGTGAGATAAGTAAGGAGGTGCAATCCTCCTTTCTTGGGACATGTGGATTCTCATCTGGGCAGAATTCATGTTAACAAGATATACTTGGTTGGAATTCAAGTTATGTCACTGCATTATAAATGCTATTATTTGGAGTATTTGGGGTGAAAGAAATGCAAGGCTGTTGAACAAAGAACAAGGCCTACTGATTGAACAAATAAAGGTTAAATTTGTACATTGGGTTGGCCCTGACCAAAGTGATGAGTTGAAAGGGGTTACAATGAATGATCTAATGAGAGGTTGGTCACTGTGGCTGGTGTGTCAAAAAAAGGGGCAACAAGAACTGGCTCCATTGGATGTTGGTACCTTAAAGCTAAATTTTGATGATTGCAGTCTTGGAGACCTAGGTGCTTCAGGTATTTGGGGAGGGGGGGGGTGTGATAAGTAGACCTGTTCATGGGCCGAGCTTTGCCTCTTTATAAACATAAACTGACCAAGCCTGAGCCCAAAGCCCAATGCGAACAGATATTTTGTAGTATATTAATTATATATTAGTAATAATATATTATACATTATGTAATATTCTATATATTATATTATATAATACTTTCCACTACTAAATTTATTATTATATAAATATATATTATATATTATTTATTTATATTATATTTTTATTATACATATAATATTATTTGGACAGGCTCAGGCTTGAGTCGGGCTTATTTTGGGAAAGCCTGAGCCTGGCCTAAAAAATAGTTGGGCCCAATGTTGGCCCGAGCCCGCAGGCATAAAACTTTGTCCAAGGCCAATTTAGAATGGGCTGGACCAGTTCAGCCCGTCAGGCTATCTGGTCCATGAACAGGTCTAGAGATAAAGGATGAGGAGGTCAATTTAAAGCTGAGCTTTTCAGGGCCCATGGGGACTAGAAATTCCTTTTAGAGCCAAACTAATGGTAGCTGTTCAAGGTTTAAAGCTATTAGATGTTAACAACAGGAGAATAGTTGTTGAGGGTGATTGTCAAGTTGTTATCTCCTGGTTATGTACAGAAATACTGTGCCATGGAGATTTAGGTTTACAATAAGGAAGGCTCAGCATTTGGGAAGAACTCTGAACTGCTCATTGAGATGGATACTACAAAGTGCTAATGAGCTTGCTGATGGCCTAGCAATCAGGGGTGTTAAGAGATGGTTTGGTCTGGGGTTTAAAAAAGTTTCATCATTTATTTTTTTGAAAAGGAAGTGTCATAAATTTGATGGGTTGTTAGGTTATCTTTTGGTTGGTTGTATTGTTCCTTTCTGGTCTTCACTTGATCAGCATGGGTTCTTTGTGTATGAATGATATTCTTTCTATTAATTGTAAAAAAAAAGGATGGGGAACCATGTTTTGGTTTTTGATTTTTATTAGCATGCATATTCTATCTTTATTTTATAACCATTGCTTTGTGTAATAGTAAAACCTTGGGCTGGAAAGTATAAGAACATGGATTTGAGCCTGAGAGTGATCACTTTGTGTAAAAAATGCCAAATGTTAGTACTGTATCTAGTCTACCCCTCTCAAGACCCCAAATAGTTAGGACCAACATTTGGCAATTATTAACTGCAATAAAAGAAAGAAGAAACATAGAAGAGGAGAAGAGGAGAAGAGAAGAGAAGAGGAGAAGAGAGAAGAGAGAGGAGAAGAGAAGAGAAGAGAATGAGGACCAAAAAACTTGTGTTAGCAGTACCTCTGTTATTATTTAGAGTAGGGTAACATAACAATATAAAAAGAGGATAAAATGACTCTAATGCCCCTGTGGCATATATAGAGATGAATACTCAAACTCCCCCTCAAGTTGGGACGTAGATATCTATCATGTCCAATTTGTCATAAAGGTCATTATGCCACAAGTGATGAAGCCCCTTCGTAAATACGTTTGCTAACTGTTTTTTGGAACTAACATACAGTGTACACATCTCCCCACTTTCAAGATTCTCTTTAATAAAATGTTTATCCACTTCTATTTGTTTGGTTCTATCGTGTAGCACTAGATTAGATGCAATGCTAATGTCGGCTTTGTTATCACAATAGAGTGGCATAAGACCACTAACACCAAAGCCCAGTTCTTCCAACATATTCTTTATCCACAGGAACTTTGCAACACCATGAAACTGATATGACCCAGAAATTTGACATGCAGTTCACAGACTTACAACAGCGTTCACACACTCGAACATCAACAAAAGAGACTAGTATTCATTCAGCAGAAAACAAAACATTAGCAGTTGGTCGGTTCTTCGAGAGACCGCCGGCTCTCCCAACACTCACAATATTCTTTACTCAAAGAAAAACATACCACCCCCTATCCCCCAAAGCCCCTTCTTATACTCTTCTGATAGCATAAYTGACTCCCTCTATAAATGCCCAGCTGGCCTAGTTATAAATGCCCAAAAACTCTTCTTTTTTCATAATGACATAGCTATAAATGCCCCAAGACTCTCCTTATTCCCTCCAGCTATAATTGCCCTCATGTGATTAATTGTTCAATTATTTCCCCCCCTTAGCTGATTGTTGACCTTTCCTCTTCCTGGCATACGTAAGGGGCCTATCATTACCCGCCACCCAAAGTCTAACCTTGTCCTCAAGGTTAAAATGAGGAAACTGGTTTCGAAGTAAGTCAAAAGGCTCCCAAGAATTTTCACAGGTCCTGCCAATGAATAAGCACTTCCAACCAGTAACTCCAGGCATAGTGGATGGACGCACACCGCGCACGGCAACAGGATAATGGAGCTTTGCAACTCTTCCAATCTCTTAATAAAATTCCTTCTTTCTTTGAAAGCTAGACCTCTTCAATCTCTTGACTGCTACCCTTGTTCCATCAGATAAAAGCCCACTATATGTGCCAMCAGTCTTGGCATTTCCAACAAGATGGTTACCTTCACTGAAATTCTTTGTAATTGGCCTCAGTTCCTCATTGCTGAAAACTTTCCATGATGGGGTAACTGATGCAGATGTTGATGGATTAGATGCTTTGCRAGACCTTCTGCGCCTCTTGCTCCTCTTGTATGCAAGCAACCAAATTACAACAGCCAAAGTTGTGCAAAGGATCATCCCACTAACAGTTGCAAGGATGATAAGATACTCCTTGTGGCGGCGCAGGTGGTAGCATTTGTTCTCTATATCAATCATACAGATGAACTCATGAGAGTTGTTGCATCTCTCACCCACAAGGGTTGGCTGGCCATTAGTCACCGATGTATAGGTATTGATTAGATTAATGCCTTTGCATGATGAATTGGAGCCATTGGAGTGAAATGGTGCCCCAGGGGAGATGGACTCATTCCTATGTGTTGCATTGTCAGACCACTTCCAACTAAAACCACTTGTAGAATTGAAGCCTCTTCCTCCAACCCAACAGCCTCTTGCTGTATTAGTGCAGAGTTTTCCAGCAAAACTTAGTTCCTTGGCTGATGTCAGTGCTGTCAAGTGCCCATTATAATCCCTACATCGAGACTCTGATTCATCCTAATAACTGGAGTTTTCTATCAGCCCAAAACACTTGCTCTTATTCGGACTGATTACCGGCAGGTCTCGTAGGGGAGCAGAGAGCACCTCGAATTGGCGACAATATTCCTTAATAGTAGAAGATTGATGTAACGAGAAGAGCTGCTCCTGTAAATTACCCTCCTGAGTCGATCGAAAACGTTCAAGGAGGAGCTCTTTGAATTCTGTCCAACCACAAAAAGGTCGCCGACCATCTTCCCAGTAATACCACGCCAATGCATCGCCCTCTAAACAGACAACTGCAGCTTGCAGACGCTCCGCCGGAAACAAGCCATTAATCTCAAAATAGCGCTCCGCGTGAAAAAGCCAGCCGCCTGGATTTCCCCATCAAAGATAGGTAACTCCAACTTCCGAGGAAGTGAATCAGAAGTATGTTCCGGGACTGATATTGAAGAAGACATCAGGAAAGCTGCACTCTTCCCTTTGTTAGTTGCATGACTCGATGCGACTAAAGGAGGAGCAATGTCAGTTGTAGACAAAGGAGCTGAATAGGCCTGTTGCTGAAGCAACAGATCAAAACGTCTCACCAGATGTTGAACGCTTCCTTCCAAAGATTGTACCGAGCTTTCCAGAGATGAGATCTTCGAAAGTCCAGCTGCTACCTTATTTGGATCGAGTCACTGAAACTCATTGTGTAAGCCATCCATCTCCAAACGAAATCCAGAATGCAGAGAAGACAGGCGTTCTTCGAAACCCTCCACCTGCGATGCCACTTCCTTAGCTGTCGCCATGGCCGAGGAAATACGTGCTCTGATACCACTGTTATGACCCAAAAATTTGACACACAGTTCACAGACTTACAACAGCGTTCACACACTCGAACATCAACAAAAGAGACTAGTATTCATTCAACAGAAAACAAAACATTAACAGTTGGTCGGTTCTTCGAGAGACTGCCGACTCTCCCAACACTCACAATATTCTTTACTCAAAGAAAAACATACCACCCCCTATCCCCCAAAGCCCCTTCTTATACTCTTCTGATAGCATAACTGACTCCCTCTATAAATGCCCAACTGGCCTAGTTATAAATGCCCAAAAACTCTTCTTTTTTCATAACTGACATAGCTATAATTGCCCCAAGACTCTCCTTATTCCCTCCAGCTATAATTGCCCTCATGTGATTAATTGTTCAATTATTTCCCCCCGTTAGCTGATTGTTGACCTTTCCTCTTCCTGGCATACGTAAGGGGCTTATCAGAAACATGGTCTTGTACTCGGCCTCTACACTAGACCTGACTACCACACTTATTTTCTTGCTCCTCCAAGTAATTAGGTTACCTCTTACAAAGGTACAACACCCATTGGTAGGCCTCATGTCATCAACTGATCCAACCCAGTCACAATCAATTTGTATACCTTTAAGTGGCCATTCTTCTTGAACAACAACCCAGTTCTAGAAAACTTCTTGAGATATCTGAGCATTCTCTCTATAGCTTCTAAGTAGGAGTATGCATAAACTAACTAAGTACACACAACATAAGCAATATATGGCCTGGTCATATATAAGTATAGAAGTCTTTAAACAAGCCTCTGGTATTGCGTGGCATCCTTAATAGGATTACTACTAGTTTCACTTAGCCCAAGGTTCGAGTCGATGGGAGTGTCAACAAGTTTTGACCCCAACTTCCCTATGCCTTTCAATAGATCTAGGATGTATTTCCTTGTGAAATGAAGATCACTTCTTGAGAATGGGCAACTTCAATTCCAAGGAAAATTGTCTAAGGGGTCCAGATCCTTTATTTCAAACTTAGTAGCCAAGAACTCCTTTAGTTTCTAAATTTTTGAAGTCTAGTCACCTATAATTACTATGTCATCAACATATACTATCAACACTGCAATCTTTCCTTGCACTCTCTTCACAACAAGTGTGTGGTCTGACTAGCGCTACTTAAATCCTATTTGGTGAATAGCCAAATGAAACCTGCTAAACCAAGCCCTTGGTGACTGCTTCAAACCATATGGAGATTTCCTTAACTTACACATTTTCCCTTCACTCCCTCATGCACAAAAGCCAAGGGGGTGAACCATATATACTTCTTCCTCTAAGTCACCATAGTCACCATTCACAAAGGCATTCTTAATGTCCAACTAATGAAGTTCCTAGCCCAGGTTAGTTTCCAAAGAAAGCAGAACTCTGATAGAATTCATTTTGGCCATGGGTGCAAAGCTCTTTGCATAGTTCTACTCTATATACCTGTGTAAACCCTTTTGCTACTAATCGAGCCTTGTGTCTCTCCATTGTACCATCTGCCCTATGTTTCATCATGAACAATCATTTACATCCTATTAGTTCTTTCCTTCTGGAAGATCCACCAATTCCCACGTACCAGTCTTATGTAATGCATCAGTCTCTTCCTTCATTGCATCTGTCCATTGATGAACATATAGAGCCTATGTGACACTTTTAGGAATGGATATACTGTCAATAAAAGAAAGGAAGGCACGGAAAGCAGGTGAGATATTGTCATAGGAAATATAATATGATATAGGATGACTAGTGGTACACAACCTCACTCCCTTTTGGCTATAGGAATGTCCAGATCACTAGCAGTAGAAATGTCAATATTAATGGGGTTAGAGGTATCAATGGGGATAAGAATACTTGGTTGAGGAGGATCTACCCCCAAGAGTCTGATGATATCGGTTGCACGACTCTAGATTGTTCCATGGCTTTTGAACTCTACTAACCCTTGCGACAACAAAGAAAAACATAGAAGGGAGGAGGATCAGGAAGAGGATAAAGCAAAACCTGAATTGGTTTCTCCTCAACCCTACTTTTGTCTTGAGGAGAAACAGGAAAGAAGGGTTCCAATTCAAAGAGGGACACATCCATAGAATTATAACACTTGTGGAAAACAAGATGAAAGCATTTGAAGCCCTTTTGTGGGGAAGGATAACCAAAGAAGACACAAAGAATGGCTTTGAGGTCAAGCTTACCATGAGTGGAAGACAAATCATGAACAAAACATTGACAACCAAAGACACACATAGAAATGGAAAACAACGAAGCCTTAAGAAACAAGAGTTGATATGGGGTCTTGTACTCTAACACCATGGAAGGCATGCGATTGATAACATATGCACTAGATAAAACAACATCCATCCAAAAATGCTTGAGAACATGCATGTCTAACATGCCCCGAGCAACTTCATGAAGATGACAATTCTTCCTTTCAACAACACCATCTTGTTGGGGTGTTTTTGCACATGAACTTCGATGGAGAGAGCCACAAGAAGCAAGGAAATTTGTCAAGTCACCATAAAAATACTCTTGCATTATCAGACTGAAGTATTTTTATTACGGTCTGAAATTGGGTGAAAATCATACGTTGGAAGTCTTGCACAATTTTTTGTCTTTCTTCTCGTGAAAGCATTGGATAAACCCATGTGTAGCAGGAGTAGTCATCAATAAATGTGATAAAATATTTGTAACCAGTCGTAGAGGGTATAGTAACAAGGCGCCACACATTAGAATACATGATATGGAAAGGGAAATCTGATATTTTATTTCTTAATGAAAAAGAGCTTCTACAATGCTTACTCAACTGACATGTTTGACACTATAATTCAGTTATTGACAGAGACAAATAATTCTAGAAGTAAAATTTTCAAAGACTCAAATGACATGTGAACCAAGACAATTGTGCCATAAATAGACACGACTCTCAAGGGATTGATTCAAAGACTTTGTAGCCTCAAGACTAGCTTTATTCTCCATCATGTAGAGACCATCTACCAAGTTTCCTCTACCAATTGTCCTCTAGAAGGTCAGATCTTGAAACACACAAGAATGAGGAAGAAAGACCACTGAACAGTTTAAAGAACAAGTAGTGCTGCTAATGGACAACAAGTTAGTAGGTAAATTAGGAATATGAAGTACATCTGATACTGAGAGAGCAAAGCCAAAAGGCAAAGAGATAGCTCATCAACCAGCTATGGAAGAGAAAGAGCCATTATCTGGCCTAGCCTTTTCTTTGCTAGAGATGAGTATAGAACTGAAACAAAGAGGGCTTACAAGTCATATGGTTGGAGGACTCCGAAATCAATAATTTACGGGATTTCAAAGACTGAGAGGAAACATGAAAAGTAGAGGCGGTGTTACCTAATGTAGACACAAAGTGGAGGGGGTAGAGGTAGAATCCATTTGTTGAAGATCCCTACCATATAGCTCCAAATGGTCATAGAAAGCATTTTTGAAGTTCTCCTCAGTGTTTTAAAAGTGCAAGGCGCAAGGCTCAATTTGCGCCTGAGGCGCAAGGCGTGCCTTTTTGAAGCAAGACGTAGAAATACAAAAAAAAAGCTAAAAAAATGTCAGAAAATTCAAAAAAAATATTAAACATAATATTACTAAAAAATATAAACTTAAATTTTAAAATAATGTTTTAAAAAACCTATTATCTAAAATTAAAATACATAAACATAAGATGTAAAGCATATTCAAATGAGAATTTAAAAATAAAATCAAACATATAAAACATTTTCAAGCATGCAAAACCTCTAATCTCTTTTTTCACTCAATTGCAGTACTTCACATAGCTAATGTAATGTAAAACATATATGATGTTTCAATGAATATAATGAAACTGTTATTGATCAAAAAAAAAAAAATGTAATGTAAAACATATTACATTCCTGATTCTATGAGCCGCCTTTGTGCCACACCCCAGCCCAGTCGTTATGTTCAAAAAAAAGCAAAAAAAACACCGAATTTTCAAAAGGCGCACGCCTGGGCTGAGGTGCATCAGGTGCACGCTTAGGTGCACGAGGCATGTGCCTTTTGAAAGGGCTGCGCCTAGGACCTAGGCGAGGTGCATACCTTGAAATGCGCCTTGCCTGTGTGCCTAGGTGCACCTTTTAAATCACTGGTTCTCCTTGGGGTATGAACCAGGACACTCTTGAGATGTGTTCATGGAAGAACCAATTGCTTGCTCCTAAGAAGCCATAGGCTCATACATTGAATTTAGCCCAAGTAAAAATGCAAACACACTACTGAGGGCCTAGGGCCTTGTAGGCTTTAGCATCCTTGTCACTCTCTTATTCAATACTCTGATAGTGATCAAGTTTCTTCCAAATGGAAGAGAGGGCAGAATAGTAATCTGATAGGCTACATTCTCCCTGTTTGCAATTGATAGATCCTAGAATAGTGCCTCTGTTCGAAGTATGTGAATTTTGCCTGCTTCCAAATATCATAGGCTGTATCTGCCCACATAAAATTCTGCTGAATCAATGCCAACATGGTGGTGAGAAGCCAAGACATGATTAAGCAATTCTCCTTATTCCACCTATCATGTTTAGCAGTGCCATGGTTCTTTTACTGTTCCATTGATGTAACCAATCTTTCCTCTAGCTGTGATGTACAATTTCATCTCTTTGTACTATGCTAAATAACTTCTGCCATCAACGGGAGTAATTGTTATTGGGAAATTCATATGGTCTATGCTATTATTCAGTCCTCCCTGTCTAGATGTAACATCGGAGGTAGCACCATCATCAGAAACCATTATAATGGCAGCCTAAACACCCTAACTGCTTCAGTTCACACTAGATCAGTGTTTAAAAAGTGCAAGGCGAGGCACACCCCTTTTTTGAAGCAAGGCGCAAAAATACGAAAAATGCTAAAAATGAAAAATGTCAGAAAATTAAAAAAATGTCAAAAAATTAAAAAAAAATATTAAACATAATACTAGTAAAATATATAAAGTTAAATTTTAAAATTAATTTTAAAACCTATTATCTAAAATTAAAATACACAAACATAACATGTAAAGCATATTCAAATGAAAATTTAAAAATAAAATCAAACATATAAAACATTTTTCAAGTATGTAAAACCCACAATCTCTTTTTTTCTGCAATTGTATTACTACAAGTAGCTAATGTGATGTAGTAGGTTCTCAAGGGGAATAATCACACACCTTCCAAACACTGATCTGGACACTTCCAGGTCTGGATGCGGACAGTACTGCACCAACTCAACCCCACGATTGCTTCACAACACCAGTTCACAGCTGTTACCGCACCCCAAGGTCATACCAGACCTACTGAGGACACCTTCCTCGTCTCATTAGGATCATATGATCCACAAGAAACTCCTAAACTCCTTCACAGCATCCAACAATTAAGTTTCTGGGTTTTCTTGGCACACAACCAAGAGAAAAAACAGAATGGAAAGCCCTAAGGTTGTCTCAGACCAAGTCTATAATCTGTGGTTGTGTTTCGGTCTAAGAGGGCAGAGAAGAAAAAAAAGATCTCAATCTGTTCTCAGAAGCTCATAGCCTGCTCTGATACCTTATTAACTGCAATAAAAGAAAGGAAAAACGGAGAAGAAGAGAAGAGAATGAGGACTAAAACACTTAGGCTAGCATCGCCTCTGTTATTATTTATAATAGGGTGACATAACAATATAAAAATAGAGGGTAAAATGATACTGATGCCCTGCAAGCATATACAGAGATAAGTACTCAACAGTAATATTTTTTCCTTCTCTCATTAATTATGCACCAGGCCACCAGCCATGCTTTTGCCTGTGAACAAGGAACTCAGATTGTTGACAATAAATTGATTTATAGCCATTTTGGTTACTAATTATTTTGCTTGACTTCTTGTTACTTCTGCACAAGCTAGTTGTCAGTTGAATTTTAGTTTGGCACTAGTAGCAAAGAAATCACTTGGCCATAGAAGTTTCTTAATAGTATGTTATGTAAAACAGTATAGCTCCAGTCCTGTATGGGTGGAAGAGTAGGACAACTTTGAGAAATCAACGGAATTAGAAAAAAAATTGAAAATCAACCACATTATCCTTAAGTGTTAGTAATTTTCTGACATGTATGCTCTTTGTCTAGAAATGAGGACTTAATTAGCCACCTTTTGATCCATTGCCCCTTTACTCCTAGGGCATGTACTAGGTTGAATCCCATGGTATGCCTGAATGGTTCCTTGGCATTTTAAATACTTTTCAATGACGGTAGACTTATTGTGACATCCTTCTTGGTGCTGTAAGTTGGTTCAATTACAAAGAGAAATTCAATAATGTTCTGGCAACAGAGTATCACTAGTGAAAGAATTCAACAGAGTATCAATAATGTTATGGCTGTATCATGCTTAGACAATGACCAGTTTAGATACTTCTGTTTAGGAAATTCTCTCTCTTCTTATGGTTATATCAATATGGAATTATACTTATCGAAGAAAAAGAATTGGTAACAAGTTTCAGTCCACAACAAATTTTAAACATGTATGTTACAAAAATTACATTGTCTACCGCTTTGATTGGATTGATAGGTTTATCATGTTCTTTCAACCTTGGTGTGCATTCTAGTACTAGCTGTGGGCTGTAACAGTTGCAATGCTACGTTTTTAGTATCGATTTTGACTCTATGCTTGATTCAGGGTACCAAGGAGGGAGAGAGTTGGACCACCAAAGGTTGTGGGTTAGATTGAGGTTGTGGTTCTTATTGCCTTGTGGTTGTTACTTGAATGTTTGATTCCTCGGTGATCTAGTTTGGCCGGTGGCATCTTAGGGATATCCTTTGTTGATTGTAGTTCTTCTAATGTGGCAAGAGCCTCTCGCATGTGGGGCCTGTACTTTGGGTCTGTGTGGAGGCATTGAAGGGCTAGTGCAGCAACTGCCTGGGCTCCTTTTTTTGAATACTGACCCCCCAACCTTGTGTCCATAATTCTCAATACTCTTCTGTTATTGATTAGGAATGGCTTTGCCCAATCAACCAGGTCATTTTCAACTCCAGCTCGCTCTTCATCCAGCGCCCTTTTTCCTGATAGTAGCTCTAATAAAACAACTCCAAAGCTGTATACATCACTCTTTATGGTCAAGTGTCCTGCTTCAGATGTCAAGAGGAAAAAGAACGAATGATGTTAAAAAAAGTAAATAAAAGATTTTTTTTATAAGTAAAAAAAAGTATATTTTTCCCTCTCAAGGAAGGTGGATAGACAAGAAAATTATTAGTCTTAAATTTAATGTTTTGAATCAAGGATTTAAATATCGACATGATACGCCCAATACGGGGCATATCATATCGGTATCAGCCTATGGTAGTACGGGATACGCTACAAACAGAAGCGTATCCCTTGAATTGTATGTGTCGTAGCGATACGGATGCGTATCGGCCTGTATGTATTGGTTGATAATACACACTGATACAAGCCGCTACGCATCAATACACAATGTTTCTCTATAAAAAATTGCAGGCATGATGATTCGGACTCGGATCACCAAAGCGTGCCCACAGCCTTGCACCTTAAATGCGATCCTAAGCCACTAAACCACGTTTATTCTTGTGATAATAAACAAAATAAAATAAAATAAAGTTTATTAACTTTTGTCTCTACATGCGATTTAAACAAAGAGCACATGTTTATATTTAACAACTCTAACTAAAATTTCAGAAGAATAATATTCAAAAACAGTATTTTATAAGCTAATACAATAAATAATCTATCAAACCCATGTTTATATAAATAGATGATTTTTAATATCAAGAAAAATATACAAATAAAATATTAAGAATAGAATAATTATTTTAATACTTAAAACTTATAAATTTGCAAATGATATGCATATTAAAATTTGTATATATTGTTATAAATTATTAATTAATATTTTAATTTATATTAATAAGTAATAACAACATATTTATTATTTATAAAAAAGAAAAATATTGTTTATAAAATATTTAAGAATATAACATTAAATTGAATTTATCAAATCCATTAGTCTACCATTATTTCAAAAAATTATTTTTCATATTAGAAAAATTATATAAGTAAAATATTAATAAAGGAATAATTATTTTAGTAATTAAAAATTATGAATTTTATATGATATGTATATTATAAATTTAACAAATTTGATATACTTTAGTTAAGATTAGATTTTTATAAAGTATTAATTAATATATTAATTTGTATTTGAGAATTTAATATTTAGTTGACTTTTTATTAATGTTAAAAAAATAAAAATAATTGATATAATAATTAAAATATAATAGGTGCATATGCTTAGTGCCGTGGACTCTTGATTGATGCATTATAAATAAAATTATATGATATCTATGCATCTTGATATATTAATTATAATATATTTCTTCATATATATATATATCACTAAAATATACATTTCTTATGTATTTATATACTATTTGTGATTATTTTGATCTTAAATTTAATGATATTATTGTATTTATGGATTTTGAATGTATTTGCCTAGCATATCCATGCATTTTCATATTTTTTGTCCGTATCCATACGTTTCCAAAGCGTATCCATATCCATATATGTATCCTTATCCAAGTTGTCCGATACGATACCCGATACCGATACTTTAATTCTTGTTCTGAATAAAGGTAGAAATATCAATTTGAAGCCACTGGTGGGTTATTGGATTGATACTTCTATGGGTCTATAAGGAAATAATGATACCATACTTGTGAAATGCCGAGGAGATTATTCCCTCTTAGGAACTGGTGTCTTAAAGCTCCATCTGGAATCAGGACAACCCTAATGAATCCCTCTGTTTCACCTGATTTTAATTTGTGCATGAGCTGACATAGCCAATGAGGGGCAACGTACATTGCATTGCTTTGTTTGAATTTATCCACACAATTTACTTTTTCTCAGTGGTTGATGGAATTTAGGAAGGACATAATTTAGTTATGCAATAATGCAGAAGGGCAGGACATCTGAAGAACAGTTCTGTATATTGTTCTGCTTCTTTAAGCAGCATTTTAGACCTCCAACATTAATACAAATTTGGAGAAGAAACAGAAGCATATATGAGCCGTTTCAGAAAAGAAATGGAATGCCAAGGAGATTATTATTTTCTTATTTATATTTTCGAACTTTTTTTGTTCCATTAGCCGTTTCATGCTCATCCTTTCTTATTTACTATATATTAATTAATTTATATATTATTTATTGTTTCCAAGTGAAAATGAAAGTAGATTAGAAGTGACCTGTTGCAACATATTCTGGGGCAGCATAGCCACGAGTTCCCACCACTCTGGTAGAAACATGAGTGTTATCTCCAGTAGGACCATCTCTTGCTAGGCCAAAATCTGAAAGCTTTGCATTGAAATCCTGCAAATTTGATACATAAGCTTTAGTTGTTTGAATTTTGAAATGATTGAATGCATTTAGAACTAAAGGCCAACATTGATCTATAAATAGGGCCTTAAGCTTTTAAGTGTACCGCATCAAGGAGAACGTTAGAAGCCTTAAGGTCACGGTAGATAACATGGTTATCTAAATTATGCAAGAAGCAAAGTCCCCGAGCAACACCAACTGCAATATTCATACGTGTGGACCATGATATAGGTTGAACTCCTCCTGCAGACAGAAGACATGGTGTAACCCATAAGAAAAATATCCCCATGATCTGTGTAGCCTTCAAACATGAAATATAAAAACTTCAAGCATCAGTGGTAATATGTGAGAAAAGTATGCGGTGGATTTATCAACTCAGTTTCAGACAAAAGCAGGGGAGGAACTTCTAGAGGGCATGGATCAAGGTGCTAAAAATCCAGTAAACCAGGGTGCCTGGAATCCTGTTATGAAAAATAGTGCAAGGAATTCCAACTATGTTCTATTTGAAGATTTAAAATTATTGTTGTATGAAATTTCACTGTCATTTGTCACATGAAAAATTAAGAGATGAATATTTTGTTGAAGGGATTGGTGGAATCATGACGGAAGTAGTCAGTGGTAGGTATGAGATGAGAGGATGGGATTAGTTGACTTCTGTATTATACCTTGCCTGGTAAGGTATTATCAGAATTTCCTAGAGGATTCGAGAATCCTTTCTTTTAAAGGAAAATTGGTAATTAGTGATTTCTTGCTCTATGCAGTTGAGAATTGAACATCTCAGTCTTGTGCAGTGACCCATTGGTGGCTCCAAGCTAAATGTGTTTTACATGGTTATTAAACAAGACTGACAGGTTTGAATAGATCTCCTAGAAGAATTGATGGCATAGTTGTGGATGATTGGTCATCTATAATATACATGGGAAACAAGACAGTATTATACTGTTCCAAAGGGAGTATCTCAAACAGCTTCTTGTTGAGTGCTGACAGCAAGTTCTGCTAATTGTGGTAGGGCTTTAATGTTTTCTTATTAAATTGACAGGTATGCTAATTGTGGATGGTTGCACCCTTAAGTCCACTGACCTCTGGACTGTACAGAAAGGGTCAGCATATGAGGTGTCATAAGTCAAGGATTCTTGGCCAATATGATCATGAATTCACGATTGTCTCAATCTAATGGATCTTGGCTGGATCCAGATTTGCCTGTCAAGGCATGGAAGCATACCTGCTTGGAATAATGTTACAAATCATTTATGCTTTCCCTAATTGCTAGCTTTTTGTTAGTTTGTTAATTTGAGACATCGCATTATGCTTCATAAGAGTACCTACATTATAGAATAGTTATCTTGATGGTAATAAATAAATAAATAAATAACAACAACGACAACAAAAATCCAAGCAAAACAATTTATCAAAGCTAGAATAAGTTAGAACAGTGTCAGGTTACTTACTTTTAAATAAATGATTTTCCAAGCTGCCTCTTTGCATGTACTCATAAACTAGAAGTCTGTTTTCTGACTCTGTGCAGTAACCAATGAGTTTCACCATATTCTCATGGCGAAGTTGGCCCAGGTAGTTAACTTCTGCCTGTCAAGCCATAAAGATCAAGTTGGCATTAATTTTGCACCCTTGATTTCAACTATACAGAAAAGCAAAGCTAGAAATAGGTTTCCAGAATTCATACAAGCCATTCTTTGTGACCTTGGAAGCTTTCCATTTTGAGTTTCTTGATGGCAACGACAATTCCAGTTCCTGGTTTTGTGGGAGCCAGAGTGTTTTCATCGATCCATCCTTTGAAGACACACCCAAATCCTCCTTCACCAAGAAGACTGTCTGTGCGGAAGTTCTTGGTGGCAGTCTTAAGGTCATTGAAGGTGAATGACTTGAGAGTGACAGAGGCTGACGTATCATTTTGGGATGCCACTGGATATTTTCTGTTCAAACTGGCAGATGGTGTTTCCTTGAGCGGAGAAATTGAGTATAGGGTTTCCTTGCTAGGAGCTTTTGAAGTTTCTGAATGGAAAAAAAAAAACAAAAGAACACAGAAGAAAAAAGAAAGTAGACAACATGAGTAGATTGTAGAGTTAGCAGTTCTACGGTACTCGAAATTTGATTTTTTAAATTATGTAGTAAACAGCTAGCAAAACTTGCAATTTGTAGAATGCAAAACAAAGATTTAAACTTTATCCATGTCAAGGCAATTGCTTTGAACTATGCTGAGTTTCAAAATCGTTCCCTGTTGCTTCTAGCTGATCATACAGATCTGAAATTAGTTGAACTGCAGAAAGCTAGTTTGGAAACATTAGCAGAATTGGTACTCGGGGAATTTGCTCAATCTAGAAAGTTGATGAAATTGGAGCTTTGCTGATTTTGCATTTGGATCTTGCTGGTTTCAGCTAGGTTCAGTTGACTCGTTAGGCTAATTTGCAACATGAGGTGGATGTTGGTTGATTCAACCTAACCTAGTTTTTCAGCTTAGAGCTTTGACAGTTTGGCAGGGATTCATGCTCATAAAGACCAGAAGGAAAGCTTTCCCTCGACAGCAATGCGGATAATAGGAAAAAGAATTAACAAAACTCATGATTCCATATTATTAGTTGAAAACGGAGGATAAATTTGAAAAATTTACTGTAACCATTTTGTAATATCTTTTCGTATTCCTCAAGAGCTTGCACCCAATTATCTATCTTTTTTAATTGTTTATCTTTCTGTTTCCAAAACCTGTATTTTCCCCATGTCTTTTGCTTGGGGTGGGGATTGGGGAGGGGGAATTTACTTGATTTGAGACCAATAAGAGTTAAGAGTTGAGCTTCAAGCTTTATGATCCTTTATTGCAATTGACCTAGAAAATCCATGATCCATAGACGGTAAAGTTCTGATCAGAGTTATAAATTTTGACTATACTCAGAATATATAGACAACAGAGACAGACAGGGCTTGGCTGGAAAATTTCCAACTCTTCTATTACCTGTTTATCCATACCATAAACAGCCAAGCAGAAAGACACCAGTTGAGAAAGAGAAAAGAATGATATCAAAGAAGCTCCTACATGATCCTTTAGTACAATTAAGTGTGTACTGAAGGTGAAGTATGGTGACGTGCTTACAACTAACCCAACTTAATAGATTCAATCCCACCAAAAAAAAAAAAAGGAATAAAGCAGACATGCCTGATGAAAGTGTAGAAGAAGCATGAGCACATCTTGCAGGCCGCCTCCAGCAATTCCCCATTCGGCACTCGTAGACTCTCACCCACTGTCAAGTAGATGAATAGTAGAAAAGAATGATGCCTGAAACCCATTTAAGGAACAAGAGAGGAAACATATTTACCGAAAAAAAAAAAAAAAAAACAAGAGAGGAAACATCTCCGTGGGCTCAAAAGAACCAGTCAAGATCTAAATTTCCGTGGAGGATGGGGAAAAAATCAAAACCAGGTCCCACTTATATGGATGTTTGACTCTTGCAGGTCCTGTCAGGAATTCAAAGCGGACCCACATCAACCAAATATCCATCTCCTTCTCCACAGCAATTGGTTCATCTATTCATCCTTATTCAGTACTACAACTTTTGATTCTCTTTCCTCCCCTTTTTTCCCAGTTTTCTCATTGAGATAGAAATATATTACTTTTTCATGGCGTGTCACTGTGTATTGGAATGCCGACACTAGTTGTCTGGAAAATCTGTGGAAGATTTATTCAAGAGAGACAGAGAGACCCAATTGTTGCACAGACAGGATGATTTTTCCATCAATCCAACGGTTGTGGGCATCAGGTGAATGGGGTCGTAGTGCGGGGCCCAGATTTTCCCAAAACTGAAAATTTTCAGCCCACGTAATCTCTCAGAAATAATAGGTAAGGTGCCGTTGAACTTGAAAAAACCTCTTGGATGATAGTCAATGTGGGTCCCAGTGGTTTAGCATGATTTATGTATTTTCATGATGTTGGATCAAAGGGTTAGTTTGACATGATGCTGGGATCGGAAATTTCCTGGCCCATGATCATCCGCAGCCATGAGTGAAACTGGTTTGGCCTTTGACTCAGATGATTGATACGTTGACCCATCTAATCTGTTTAATGGGTTACTCGATTCTTATATTAGTTTGGATTTTTTTTTTTATGTTAGTGACATGATATATGATCGGTTGGCTCATTGACTCAAATGGTTGAACGGGCAATCCATTCATTGACCTGGAGGGAAGAATGGTTCAACCTCCGGTCTGGGTTTTTAAAGGCTGCTAGATCCTTTACCATCCTCAACTACATTCATAAAAGTAGTAAAGATGAGGACCCACCGATGATTGGGGCCCATGATGGAGGAAATCCACCGCAGCCCAAAATTCAAGCTGATGTTGACCGGATGAATTCATCTGGGGTGACCCAATGAATTTCAGTCATTATTTTTATCTTGGGTTTGGCCAAACCCAAAAGATAGGGGTAAAATATAGGGTTGGATTGGGTTGAGTGAAAGATTGTAAAATGCCAACTTCGTATAAAACGGGTTTTAGTTAGGGTTGATTCTGATGTCTTGACTCTTGACCAATTTGGCGTAAACACAATATATTGCCCTTATATATATATTTTTGCACATTGGGCCTCGTCAACTGGTGCTAAAACATGGGATTCCAAATAGGTCGAGTGCACATTTTGGTTTGCTTTTGTTCAAGTTTTTACTTCATTTATTTATTTGCAATGCTGATGAAGTAAAATAAAACCCAAAGCAAAATGACAGCTAAATCAAAAGTGTATCAGAATTTGCACTCCCATGCACTTGCATTAGTGCAAGGGAAACAAAAAATGGAGCCTTGTAAGTATCATATTCGACATGGGGCCAAGGGTTTAAAGTATTGATACACTTTTTTTTTTCATTGTATATCTAGAGTTTGAAGTTTGAACCACTGAAAACTCAACTCTATTTTCACGTTTTTTTTTTTATTATTTTTAAAAGTCTAAAATCTTAATAATGCATGTATCAGTGACCCTGAAAGTCGATATATGCACCAAAACATTGTGATATCAGTGGTCCTGAAAATCGATATGTATCATACAATATGCACCAAAACATAAACATTGTGATATCGGTGACCCAGAAACAACGGTGGGTTCATTGCAAAATATGTGCTTGCATGAGAATGATAGTGTGCGTTTTTGCATGTATAGAAGTGTTTTGGGTGGTATAGACTAGTGTTATAGACGCCATGGACCAGCGAGAAAAGAAAAAAGTCGTAAGGACCAGTGCAACAGGGTCGGCCTTTCCTGGAAACGTCAAAGTCATTACCAAGTATCACCTTGCCAAGTCAATGATCAGAGATGAATATGAAACCGATGTCTGATAATGTCGTTTTGTTTTTCTGTCTACGTTCACTTGGGTTCCCACATTTCTCTTTCAAACACTGTTCCACATGACCAGGACTAATTCAAACCATGAAATGGGCTATGTGGTTAGAATTTATAACTCATGGATTGATTTGTTTGGTGTAGGGGACCAATTTCGTTATGTAAAGCTAAATTGATTTATACAAAGGAACTTATTATTGCTCAAACTTGTGTTACCCTCGAACTGGCCTCCTAAATACCAACCAAACGATTCCTCATGCCGACGACCCAGTGGTTCAGTTGATTATTCATGGTCCGCTTGGTTCACAGGAACAGGGGTCCGGAATCGGAATTTTCCACGTGTTTGGTTGCAACTGAACTTGAATGGGAAGACTTAATGATTTTTTAATGGGTCGCATTTTGTTTATGATTTTTATCTCTTTTTATGTTTTTTAATCTCTTTTTATGTTAATTGAATCTCAATTTATCTGTTTATCTCTTTACATGTTAATTGGATTGTGTTGTATTTGGATTTTCACGAGTTTTTATCTCTTTATATGTTCTTTTTTTTTATTATTATTAGGGACAAAATTGAAAATGATGGTTGATTCCGACTCCAACCTCTTGACAAACCAAATAGCATCAATTAGAATCGGACTCCAATTCCTATTTGAACCAAACAGATAGGGGAATAGGCCATTCCAATTCCGATTTCGATTCCAATCTCTAATCAAATGAGACCCTTAGTGCTCTTTCGAGAAGGTGAGTTCAAAGTTTAAACCCATAAGCAAGGTTCAAGGTATTGACATGTATCGGCCTGTATCAGCCAATATGTATCGTTTCAGGGTTCTGACCAGTTCAGGGGGTAGAGGAGCTCTAAACCGCCCCCTGAACCGATTTTGAAAAAATATAAAGAAAAAAGTAAAAAAAGATATTGATATTGCTCGATACGTCTCTACTGGCATATCAAGCGTATTGATATTTAGAACCTTGCCCATAAGAGGTCTGATAATAGGCTCTCCATGTTGTGAATACCAGCAGACCTGCCTGTATGTGACTCCTTGCTCTCACTAACCCTGCTAATTGGCACCCTGCCCTTATGGGGGCTGAAGTCGCATCAGAAAAGCAAAGAAAAGTGAATTCTGAGTTCAGTAACAATCACATAAAGAAGAAGAAAGAAAGAAACTTTATAAAGCGTGTGGATTCTTCCAACTTTTTCATGAAGAAAGTGACCCTTCAAACAAGTACATGTATTTGAAAATGGTTGGTTTGACAAGAAGCTGGAACAAGAGGCCCTATTAAAGATATTACAGGCTCCATAGTAGAGCCAAAACAAAAGAAAGTGTTGATTGCTGAAATCCTTGAGGAAAAGTACTTAACATCCTTTGTTAATAGCTGAAAGTATGAAACTAGATCTAGGCAGGCTGATTCCATTCACATAAGAGGGGATAGAATCAAACGAGATGAGCCTCGTGCATAAGCCTCAGATCCAATTGCAGAAAGAACTTCCATTAGGATTAAAATTTCCCTCAACTTTCTGTTTCTCTTATTTTCTATCAAACTAAATATAGCATTTCTATCTATTAGAGGTGTCCGTGGTTGGGTTAAATAAGATAGCTATATTGACTTGATCATTTTGGGTTAGGTGAGGGTTAATCGCATGGTTTTCAAAATCGGACCGGACTGGAAAAACCGGGAACCGGTCACCTGACCAGTTCTGTTTTTTTTCAAAATCGTTGATTTTGGTCAACAAATCACTGAGCCTGCCGGTTAACCGTTAGAACAGTTTTGACCGTTTTTCAAAATTTTTTCAGTTTTTTATTTTATTTTTGTCAGAACGAGCCAATCGTTCAGGTTGAACAGTCGAACCATTCGAACTGATAACTGGATCCGTGACTGATTCAATCACCAGGTCGGTTTTAAAAATCATGGTTAATCGATAATCCAGTTACGAATTGAACTTAGATAGAGGTGAGATTATATCAAACCTTGACCAATTGACATTGCAACATTGAAACACTTGTATAAATGGCCTTGGTTAAGCATAAGTATACCATGTCTATAACAGATTGGATAGGATCAGATTCGGGTCACGGTAATTGAGTCGGGTTAGGGATGAGGCAAACCCGTAGCAATTTATAGACACGTGATCAGAAATTTGGGTAGAGAGTAGTAGTGATTGAGAAATGGGAAGGATCAAGCAATGAAAGGATCTGATTATGATGGCATTATGCATAAATAGAGCCAACTATGGGTATAAATGGGAATTAGAGCCTGAGGCTTTGAAATTCAAAATATAAAATTGAAAAGTTAGGTGAGATTTTGAAATTCATTGAACAAATGTATTAGTCAATACGTTCATCATATCCGGCCTATCTTGGTCAATTTTGTATCTTGCTAGCTTATTAGTATGATATAATTGATATATCCAAGGTTGAAAGTATAGAGACATGCACATTTCTAACATATGATACAACTTTTTTTTCATACTTAAGTAAGATGAGGGAGGGTCTAATGAATAAATAAATTCCCTTCATAGGAAATGGAGATGTAGCAGTTTAGTCAAGGATTTCAAGTGGGTGTATAGGCACATCGTAGAAGACCCTTAATTATCAAAAAAAGAAAAATAAATAAAAAGGTAAAGAAACCACCCCCCCTCAAAAAAAAAAAAAAAAAAAAAAACTCTTCTCTATAATTACTTTTGTGAGATTACAACTTTATTTTCACCTAATCTTAAGAAAGAAGTTGTCCAAGCTTAAATAAGTGGGATCCCTTTGTATGCTTTTGTTCACGTTTGTACATGTCTTTGGTGCCAAGTGAGGTGTGTAAGCATTTGAATGCATGTGTTTTAGGTAGGGTTGTAACTTGGGCAATTATGACATCATGGCTTAACCCATTTGACCCAAATGGTTGAATTGCTTATCCACCACCTAGACAGAAGGACAATTTCATTTTTTTTGTTCAACTTTGAAAAAAAATGAGATTTATTGCTAGAAGTATTGATATAGATCTAATAACAAAATTTATTGGTGAGAAAAATATCTTAAGTATATCATATAATGAGATAGAATAAGCGTTGGCCCCTCAAATATATGATTTAATGAAAGGGATTTGAATGAGGTGAAAAATAATAGTTCAAAATACATTTTGTCCTCACAATTAAAAAGGACTAAATTCAAATTACATTTTTTACATTTGTTATATTTCCGTGTGCATAAAAATAATTCTTAATTATGACACTTGTTTTTGTTTAATATGATGAATATACAATATTAGAGATGTGCCCAAATGTTGTTTTTTTGGCAAAATTTATGTATTCTTTTCAGTTTTATTATTTTTTTAATTTTTATTGTTTAATTATGACATCAAATATTGGTACATTTGAATTAAAAGTTGAATTGTTGATCTGGACCAAATAGGAAACCAATTTCATTTCTATTATCAATATAAACAATTCTTGTTTATGACACTTATTTTTGTTTATTATGATTAATATAAAATATCAGAGAAATGGCCCACATGGATTCACCCAATTGACCCAAGATGGTCAAATTAACTTAGCCACCACTTTGATGGAAGTAGTTTCATTTTCATTTTCTTTTGTTAATTTTAGAAAATGATAAATTGTTGAAACCTACCTTGAAGTTTCTAACTGTTGCTGAAATCTCCC